CGTGACGGTACCAACTACAACACACATTTCGGACTTAGTTCCAACAATGATGTTCGACTACATTGTGCGACATTATTGTTTTAAGGCGTAACGCAGGGTGTAGTCAACAGTTTTGGAGCAGGTTTGATGGTGTGTGTGGTGAACTTTGTTGTATGACATTTGTAAATGAGTAGGGATGCTCGTGTCATACTATTTTTTTTTTTTAAACCACGTGATGCAGTGCACGGGCCAACAGGATTAGTTGGAACATGAACAGGCGATGTAGTGACGATTAAGACTTACAACACTTGCGGTTTTGACACTTGGGACCGCCTTTATTTTTTTTGGAACACATAGAGTGAGCGGTTTTGATAACTAGAGTCATTTAGTGTTGAGGGCGATAGTGTGAGACCACTTGACTCCAATTGGGACCAACACAGTACACGTGCGGCCACAATGATGATTTTTTTTCGCTTGCGGGTTTGATTTTTTACGTAGTTTTTTTTTTTTTTTTGCTTTGCAAGCGGTTTTCGAATATAAGATCATTTGGTGTGGCAGTTAGTAACGTAGGACCATCTGGGATCATTTGGGATCAGTTAGCACTGACGTGGGACCCGTGTGTTTTTTTAGAACGTATGTGGCGCTCCATCTTCACACTTGGGTGTGGATGTGCGAGTTGGGGACAGATTGGGGCTAGCGGTTGGTTTGAATTTACCTTGGGATTGCGGTTTTATTTGGCGAAACTTATTTTTTCTTGACCGTTTTTAATGAGCCACGACGCCCACGACACTACTTCACTGAAGGTCAGTTGATTGACTCAAATTTCTTCACAATCGTATGAACGCACACTTTTTTTTACCCTGTTTGTTTTGAATGTTCAAAAGAAAAGATTGAGTAAAGTGTGCGCGGTTATGCATATGAAAAAGTGAGATCTGGCGGGAGTATGGATTGCTGAATTTTCTGGACCTGTGATTGTTTTTTAGTGTGCAAGTAGGTAGAAAGATGAATGCAGAGGAGATATATTATGCCTATTTAAAAAAAAATAAAAAATGACTGTCTTCTTTTTACTTCTCACATGCCCGCATGCCAAAAAAGTTTCATTGTTTTGAAAAATATTAATTGTGTGCGCACCATAAAATGAATTCGATTCAAATAAAGCATATAAGGTCAAACGAACTTGGTCTTTTTCCGAGGATTACCCCTTTCTATCTCGAATGACCTTATCTACCTATACATGTCCAAATGATTCTTATTCTCTATCATCTCAAACTCTTTTTCATGTAAGTTACCCTTAGTTTAAGAATAAACCAGAAAAACTAAAATTTATTTGTGGTGAACACATTCTCACTCTAGGAAGCATCTAAGGATAGGGTTCGTTACTTCAGGAGTCGACTCTGTTATCAACTTGAAGTGGATCGTTCTACAGGGGGGGGTACATGCCGATTCGGTGGAGATGATCCAACTTCTGAAATCCGAGCTTTGTGCTCGGACGAGGAGGAGTATCCCAGACCACTTCCTATAGGGAGAAACATGTAACACTTCAAGTAGTGCACATGACCAAAAACCATCTCAAAGCAACCTGTTATCCAAGAAGATTCGAAATGTATGAAGACGGGTGTGTGCGTGCCTAATCTTAGGTCGACGGTAAAGTGAGGTGAATAACTTTGGCGACGCATCTCATGAAGTCAAAATTGAGGCAGTCCAAATACCTTGTTGGATGCATCGAGGTTATTGTCGGAAGCCGACTCGTTGTCGACAGCTGTAAGATTTTTTTTTTTTTTTTTAGTTCGACATAAGGTGGTCGGGTTTTATTTTTATATTGTGTTAATGAATGTATTAAATGATGATTTAGATTCTTTCAGTTATCATTTAAGACTGGATATACCTTCCTATCGACTACGGTCGATTCCTTTTGATGTAAGTATGTATGATTATTATAACTTTTTTTTGAGTAGTGTCTAAAAAGACTACCGCCTTAACCCGAAACAAGGTACATACCTTGTAGTAAAGTTACCCACGAAAAGCAGGTTATAGAAAATCGCTATTAAATTTTCGAATACAAGATACGTACCTTGTATTCGAGGTGCGTCTTGTAACTGTTAGGTAACTTTTTTTTTTTTTTTTTTTTTCCTTTCTCTCTTTTTGGTGTGCGTTGTCCATGCACGTGGGTGCTATGTTTTTTTTTTTTTTTCTTTACCCTATCGCGTGCGATGTCCATGCACGCACCTGCTTCCATACACGGAAACTGTGCTCTCTCTCTCCCACACACGCATACACACACATACACTCAAACACATCTAACATTCGAATGCATGCCGAATCGTGAGCATGCAGCGCCGTTTTCTGTTCGTTTACTCATATTTACAATATATATTCCCCCCCCCCCCCCCTTGCATAGTAAAATTGCATCATAAAATTCGTTTTACAAGGTACATACCTTGTTTTCGGGTTGAGACGGTATGATATAGTTGAGGGTTTCACGACTGGTCGAAACCGTCCTAGTTGACCGGCGTACGATTCGTTCTTAGGAGATTAACGCCATAAGGGACGAACGACGCCCAAGTTCAATAAGTGTTTTAACCGCGCGTACCTATACTACAACGAACGAGCAAACACCATCGGTTGGCCTACCTTTGCAATAATATTTAAACCATGAGTACTTTACCCAACTATCAAGTTTGAGCCTCGCCCGACCATTATGTTGAACCTTGCCGAGACTCGAACCACAGGGCGGTAACCTCCCAAACGTGTTTGGAAAAAAACACGGAATAAAAAGCAGAAAAAAAAAACAGAAAATGAAAAAAACAACGAAAAAAAAAAAAGATTTACTGTAAAAAAAACATTGAAAAAATAAATGGTTACTACCTCATCGACATGCCGAAAAGACAATAATAAAAAGTGATGTATCTTTGCATGTTTTAGCAGAAGATTCACTCTCATTTTCATTTTTCGAAATAAGAGAGAGAGAGAGAGAGAGAGAGAGAGAGAGAGAGAGAGAGAGAGAGAGAGAGAGAGAGAGAGAGAGAGAGAGAGAGAGAGAGAGAGA